AGAAAATTTCTCATTTTAGGATTGTGCGGGAATGTGTTGAAATAAGAATCCGCTCTGTCCCCAAGTATGATGGTAGCCTCAGATAATTTTGGAGCATTCAAAGAAAATCCAGTCTGCCAATAACCAATGAACTCACAAGAACGTAGCTTTGGAGTTTCAATAATTGTACCACGTCTCTCATTGAAATCATCGTTTTCGCTCACATGATGAACACTATCACCCAATCTAAAAGATTCAAGATTCGCAGCTTTTACTGTAAGCTCATATTCTGCGAAACCCCTTATTACTTCCAAAGACTTTAGGCTGGAACTTGAAACATCAACCCTCGATAGGCCGCCACATGAGTCAATTGACAAACTCTCAATTGAAGGGCACCCCAAAATCAATTCGACGAATGCAAACTCGTCCAAGAGCACTTCTTTGAGGGACATAGATTTCAAAGACGGAAGTCTTACATGTTGAAAGCCCCAACCCCAACTTATTGCCACAGACTCCAGGTTCAAACTAGTTAAGGATTTTGCGTTGAGAACCGTATGGGGTAAGTTGTATAAAGGATAGGAGAAGTTATGGGTTGTAAATAGGCTCAAATCTAACTCTTTAACGTTTTTCCATATAGCAAAACTCAAGCACTGGTTGATGAGATTTTCGTATCCATAGTATCTGGTACGAAGCCTGAATTTATCTAAGTATTCTTGCTTATGATCTTTCTCATAGCGCCTCAAACAACTTGTTACGAAATATTCGAACTTATCATGTTGAAATACATGATCACCATGTTGCTCTTCCTCGTCGAAATCTAATAAGGGAATTAAAGACCATACCCTTTCCCACTGCTTGGAGAGTATGCTGGCCCGTATGGCATATCTGGTGGAAAGGAGTTGGAGAATCTGGCAGATAACAAGATCAGGTAACTCGGGTGTACTTTTGACCATTGCGGCATATTGTTCTTGATATTCTTGCGTTTTGTCTTCCATGTTGAGATTGTTATCCATGTTTGCGTTGTTGCTACCTGTTTTGTCTGCCTTGCGTTCTGCCTTTGATCTTCTTGCTGTTTCTTTGCTCATCTTCTTCAAGATCAAGACTCTGAATAAAGCAGATTGAAATATTTTGTAGGGCTAAATTTTGTTGTTGCGGCTTAATCATGAATAAGTTTGGATATTGAGCCCTATATATTTCATCGACATCTAAAATCCTTATGAGATGTGAATTAAGAATTACATGATGCTAAGGAGTTCTGCTAATCTCTTTAATATAAAGTTGAATTTTAATAGGACTGTATCAATATGTGTAAGGAGGTTCATGCTCTAATATAGTAATTTACGTTCATATCACTCTAGTTCCTGTTTGTTAGTTAAACGTCCTAATACCATAACATGTTCAATAAGGAGTACAACTTGTTTAAAAACCAATTAACTAATTTGCATCTAGCTGAGAAAGAAAATTCTTTAATAAGTTGAAGATTTGGGCTTAGCCAAATTGGCTAGAGCAGTGTGCTCCCTCCTATGCACCAAAGTTTCAAATCTCATCTCCCAAAATTTAGATCAACTTAGTGTATAGTATCATTTGTATAAAAAAAATTAAGAAGAAAGAAAAACTCAATGTGTTAATCCTCGTGTGAGTAATAATGTTAACCACAATATGACAATGTGTTTCGCATGAAATCAAGAAACCTCCTTTGCTGTACGAGCACAGTACGTTCTCTCACCTTCTAGTTTATATCTCGGCCTCACCAACACTAGTTTTTCCACTGGTCACACGAACCATATCTTCAAGTTTCGACCACCCGATTCCCCAATTATCTGGATTCTTCAGTTAGCATCCCTCTGGAGTAAGTGTTTTTTGCTGATAGAAACTCTAGACAAGGAGCAATCCAACACAAGGTGTCCGTTAAGACAGATTCTTCCACCACCGTTGGGGAGTTGACTGAAATTACCTTAAGTTCTTTGAGACTAGGTAATGGTTGAGATTATTTCTGTCTCAATATTTCTGGAAAGATGAAATTCTACACAACAAAGAATGTAAATCAACAACAAAAGAATAACTAATGTTATTTGTACCACGTTTACTTTCGTGTGTATGCGAGACCCGCCAGGATCGTAACAAAATTATAGAACTCAGAATAAGAGTGAATAAAAAAGTTAGTGCACGTGTTCTTCTGTGGCAATCAAATTTTGCAAGAAAATTGCTCAGAAAATGATGCCATTTGTATGGAACGCTGAAGAGAGAGAGGCCGTCTCCTCAAGTATGATTGTAGTCTCACATAACTTTGGAAAATTCATACAACTAATGTTGTTCTTCAAATAAGTCAAATAACCATTGAATCCAATTAAAAGGAGATTTGGCGTATCAATTGTGACACCCATAGTGGAACTGCCTCCACAAATGAATACAAAACGTTTTAGATGCTGACAGAACAAGTTGATACTCATACGTTTGAGGCAGCCGCAACAATCATATAATAGCAAGCTCTCAAGGAAGGGAAATCTTGAATTGAAGCCTTTAACCATCTGTTATCTCGAAGATCAGTGTTTAAGAACTCTATATTTCTTAGTGCTACGTACAAGAGGCAAGATCGACTCTGAACAGGAAGTGTTTACGACTTTCAATCCTACCAAATCTAAAAATTCAAGATTCACAGCTTTATCTTTAAATATCAAATGCCAGGGCACCTGGAAACCAAGTGGGAGAATCCCGGTCTGCGCATGTCTTCGAGGGACATAGATTTCAAAGATGGAAGATTTATAGTACATTTATCCTTTATGCCCACGCCCTTCAAGTTTAAAACAGTTAATGGGGTAAGTAGTAGCCACCTGTGTGCGGAGTTCATGCACATTTGAGAGAACTCGTTCGGCAGATCTCTAACTCTTTAACATATTTTTTTCAGTAGCAAAACTCAAACACTTATCGATGACCTTAACACGTGGGCATTGAGAATTCTTCATATTTTTGTGAAGACACCGGCAATATGTGATTTGAAGTCTAAACTTATCTAGAACGTATCTGTCTCACGGTGCTTCAAACACATTTTTCACGAAGTTAAGGACCAACTTACTTGTCAACATTATGTAGCTCTTCAGGATCTTCCTCGTCGAAATTTAACATGGGGACCAAAGACGATACACTTCCATTGCTTGGAAAGAATAGTGGCCTGAACGGTAAGTCTGCTGGAAAGGAGTTGGAGGATTCGGTGAATGGCAAGGTCTGGTAATTCGGATGTGTTGTCGATTAGGGAGGCCATGGCGTTTCAATTTTGATCTTCTTGCCTTTCTTCTTGCTTTCTTGAGAATTTTATTTGTCTGCTTTGCTTCTAAGGGCTCTTTTTTCTTAAACATCATGAAAGGATTTCTTAAACTGATCAAGAACGAAGAAGTGGGGAACAATAAAGAAAGACAATTATCGAACAAAATGCACAAAGTGCTTGAATACTCTATCCGAACTGCACTATCAAAACCCTAGCTTTGCCTGTGCTATATCATAAGTGGGTTATGGTCTCAACTACATATATTTACTTGCCCAACTTTTCTAATTGCACCCAGCAACCCAACTTTTGACGTTTCAAACCCATTGTTCTAAAAATCCCTATCTAGGCTCCGCCTAGGCGCTAGACGGCTGTCCACTGTCCCAATTAATGCCTAGATGTTTGAAAATTAAGCAAGAGCGCCTAGACCTGCTGAGGTGCCCACCTAGCCCGTCCAGACTCGTCTAGGTACCCGTCTTGGTCGCAACTCACTTAAATAGAAAATAGATAACTTTTATCTTGCATTTTATTTTTTTTCCAATAAATTGTAAAAGACTTGTTGCATACTTAAATGAACACACATTATATCCTTATTTCACATGTTTTCATTATGTTTCATACTTCATAATATATATATATATGCATTCTATTTTGTAGTTTATGATAAAATTATATATATTTTAAGTATAAGCAGACACTTATTTACATGAAATATGATAGATTTACTTAAATCCGCCTAGGCGCCCGCCTCGCCACTTAGGCGCTAGGCCCTAACCCACCGCTTGACTAACGCCTAGCATTTTTTAAAACCTTGTTCAAACCCAAAACTTGATCATCAAAGTAATATTAAGTAATATCATTGACTAAGGAGACCTCTCAGTGAAACCCTAATCTCTCAATAAACATTGGGTCAAAAATCTCTCGATAAACATTTAAGCATCTAATCTTATAACTAGTCTCAAACTCAACACAAATACCAAATAGTCATTGTCGTTTATTTGAGTCAACATAATCTCACACTTACAATTTGAGAAAAATATCTTTAGATAGTAGTGTTTGTTAGTAAACTAAAACATGTTTAATTGGATGCTATAAAATGATATAAAATAAAATGAAAAAATAAAAAAGAATGTGAACCACTTGTCATTCCCAAATGAAGTGAACAAAATTAATTATATCATTCATTTATATCATAATATATGAATTAATGATATCACGATCAAGCAAAATATTCCTTGAGTTTTTTTCTAGGCTAGGAAAATATACAAGACACAGGGATGCAAGAAAACAACCTATTGTGGATAGAGTGGACTTTGTGGTTGAAATTTAGTGCAACCCTTGTTCCTTGGTCAGACCACCGATTGAACTCACTTCATTTGGCACCATGTATGTGTAGACCAACTTGTACCATCTCTTACAACCACCCTATCTCCATGGGGCTCTCTTAATTCTTCCTCCACAGCATCAATTTTGTGGCCAATAGTAAGCTATATGGGCCACACACAAGATTCCCACATGGACCCACGTGGACATCCTGCTTGGCATGAGTGCATTGTGGTCCATTGTTCTGCACCACCCTGATTGAACATGCTTCTGTTAATCTGTTTGTGAACAAATTAGAGATATCCTACTAACATTGTCTTTTTTATTTTGAGGATATTAGTTGGCAAAAATAAGAATGATACTTGGTGGAGTTTTAAGCTCAACCATTAGTCCAGACTACCGTGGGTCATACAACATGTCAGTTTGGATTTATCGTATTATACAAGGTTAAGTGTCCAAAATTGCAAATGTAAAGAGAGTAAAATTTCGATTTACTGGCTATTTATAGTAATTTGTTGTTGGATTATCGTTTTCTTATGATAGTAATTTCTCCAAGGATCTATTACTATACATAGAGGCCTAAATGACTCCAGTCCTTGAGCACCGGGCATAAAGAGCAACCAAACTTGTTTACTATTTTTGCAAAAACAGAATAATATTGCAATTGGAGGGTGTCTCTCTATTAAGAGACGTTTTTGGAAGCATAATTACAAGGATGTTCGCAGTGCAGTCTGTCCTTGCAGAAAGGTTGTCTTCAGGATGCAGCCTTTTGGCATGGGTTGAACTCCTTGTGCTCTGATTGCATTCCACAAGGGATTTTCCTCATCCTGCCTTTTGGCATGCATGAGTTGAAATTCCTTGTGTCCCTTGATCCGGTCCTTACTTTCCTCCGATTTTCGGAAAACATTTTCATCGATCATTAGGCCGGCCGCACGAGAAATTGTTTGAATATGAGCATGTATGTATGTATTTACCCTACTGCATTCAAAGAGTGAATCTTGATTGCACGTACATATATTACTAATCTTGTTTCATTTTTCACCGTCAGCTGTTTGTGTGGTGAATTTTGAGGCATGGTTTTCAAAAAATCCGAAGAAAAAGGTATGGAGATGAAAAAAGGAAACATATTGATGCACAAATACGAGCTGGGACGGTTGCTTGGAAAGGGGACATTTGCCAAGGTTTACCATGCCCGAAACCTGAGCTCCAGCCAGAGCGTTGCGATTAAGATAATCGACAAGGAGAAGGTGCAGCATGTCGGATTGATTGATCAGATTAAGAGGGAAATCTCCGTCATGCGCCTTGTTAGGCACCCGAATGTGGTTCAGCTCTTTGAGGTCATGGCTAGCAAGACCAAGATTTACTTTGCCATGGAGTACGTGAAAGGTGGGGAGCTTTTCAACAAGGTTGCCAAGGGGAAGCTCAAGGAAGACGTGGCGCGGAAATACTTTCAGCAACTGATTGGGGCTGTTGATTACTGCCACAGTCGAGGGGTCTATCACCGTGACATCAAGCCAGAGAATCTCTTGGTGGATGAGAATGGAAACCTCAAAGTTTCGGATTTTGGATTGAGCGCATTGTGGGAGTCTAGGGGACAAGATGGCCTCCTCCACACCACGTGTGGAACGCCAGCATATGTAGCACCGGAGGTAATAAACAAGAAAGGTTATGATGGCGCAAAGGCAGATATATGGTCTTGTGGGGTTGTCCTCTTTGTTCTACTGGCCGGTTTCCTGCCATTCCATGACACCAATCTCATGGAAATGTATAGGAAAATCAGCAGAGGAGACTTCAAGAGCCCTCAGTGGTTTCCCCCAGAGGTATGTAAGCTTCTTTCGAGGATTCTTGATCCAAATCCAAGCTCAAGAATAAGTGTTGACAAGATCATGGAGAATAGTTGGTTCAAGAAGGGGTTTAAACAAATCGAAGCGCCTTTAGCCCTTCCGTGTGATTCCAGCACCTCAATCCGCGATGTGCATGAGGCTTTTGCATCAACAAGTCATTCAGCTGGAGAAGGTTCCAACAAAAATGCTAGTGGAGCAGGAACAAGCTCCATGAGGCCAACATGTTTCAATGCGTTCGACATCATATCTCTCTCACCAGGTTTTGACCTATCCGGTTTGTTTGAGAAGGATATGAATCACAGACCACAGGCACGATTCACGAGCACAAAACCAGCCGCAACAATTGTTTCAAAATTCGAAGCCATAGCACAGACGGAGAGGTTCAAATGCATGAAAAAAGATGGAACCCTTAAACTGCAGGGTAGCAAGGAAGGCAGGAAAGGGCAGCTAGGCATCGATGCTGAGATTTTCGAGGTCACGCCTTCATTTCATGTCGTGGAGATGAAGAAAACGGCTGGGGACACATTGGAATACATGGAGTTCTGTGACCATGACTTGAAGCCCTCTCTTAAGGATATAGTATGGACTTGGCAAGGAACAGAGCAGCAACAGCCACCACCGCCAGTAGTAGCACCTGAACTCGTTTCTTAGATACGAAGGAAGTGCTTATTTTTATCTAAAACTTGTGCTTAATTTGTCTCTTCAATGCGTTTTCATCTTTATTTCTTAAGCTTTTCAGTCTTTTTCATCTTTAATCCGCTTTATATGTTGTACTTGTTTCGAATTCGAGATCAATTTGTAAAGAGAGAGAAACAGAGGTATTACTGGTCTGGTCATCTGGTGCACAACTGAAGACTGAGCGCAGTGCAGGATGCATGTTCTGAAAAATGTGTATATGAGATGCTGCAATCATGTAGCAGATTGATCGATGACATATAGAATCACTAGTTTAAACTTGTAGCACCAAAAGGGCAAAATTTTGGATATTCAATTGCATATTTAAAGAGCAAGTTATGGACTAATTATATCTGTTCTTGTTTTTCTTTCAATTTAAACTTTTTGGAGTGACATGATTTAGGAATGAGGATAATAGACATCCATCTTTGCTGTTTTTCCACAACTCATCCTGAAAATTAAGCAAAACAGCTCCCACAGAAAGTACAGAAGGCAAATGTGCAACCACGTTTAAAGTACTATCATGTTAGAATATTATTCATGTGTGTGAGAGAGATTAATATTTTGATATATCTCGGTTATACTCTAGAATTTTCCGTGTCTTTAACCAAAAAGAAAAGAACCCTACGAGAAGAGAAGTATTGTGTCTAACCAAAGGATCATGTATGTTTGTGCGGCCATAATACAAAATCAGAATCTTCTGCAATTTTTTATCACTCAGGACAACCCGTATGAGGAATCTCACATACAGCTGATCGCACACAATAATTCCTCCGTAAGATGGATGCTGTATTCAAGAATCTCTCCTAAAAAAACAGCAAACAAGTTGATAAGCTAATTTATGACCAAATTAACCAAAATGCTGGACCAGTGATTTATACTGAATTTTATTGAAAAATAATGATTTGTAATTAGGTATGAGGGTAGGATACACAGAACCATCACCATCTGTTTAACTAGCAAATCGAGACCTCTCCCTCTAGAAATACACCTTGTCAAATTTAGTCATTATATATCCAACATAAAAATCTACCGTTCACGGCTTGTAAACAGTTCTTAATTAGCCTAATTTCCCTTTTCCCCTAATCACACGTAATTACATCATTGTTGTTTTGTTGTCATCACAAGGACACCAAATGGTTTGTGATTGGCTGCCATTTAACGTGGGAAAATGATTAGCAAAAGATTTGGCTGCATTAGAGAAAAGATTAACCCATTCAACGTCCAATTAATCCATGCCATTATATGTGCTTCTTTTCCTTAATTGTGTAAAGAATATAAAGCTGTAACTGCTATCAGAAAACAAAATCTTCACAGTATCTGAAAGACTGAAAGTCCTTAGCTGATTATCAAGTTGGTGTTCGATCCGACCACGTACGTTTTCTTATCCACATGTCCCCTATTCCTCTATTTCCCTCCATATTTCCACACACAAAACTTGGAAAACGATGTTTGATATATCACAAGCATCCCTTCGTTGAAAAATATGGTTCTTAAATCTAAACACGTAAAAAGTCCGTTTTATGGAACCTAACCAGCTCACTGCATCCTGCTTCACTTCTTATTTCTCTCACATACTTTCCCTCGACGTCTACACACAAAATGAAAACTAAAAACTAACAAATGAAATGCTTATCAAATAATCTCTTAAATGTTTTCTCACTAATATTATCAGTTGTTAAACATAGATTCACTAGAGAGATTTTAATACTCTCTTTTTCCACCGAAAACCAAAGTCCATCTGAACAAACCCTAAAAGAAAATCGAATTATAAATTGCAGAATCCATGGAAGAAGATAGAAAGAAAACAGCTAAGAATCTACGACCAAGGCAGTAAGGCAACTACCAGTCATACCCTAACCCTAAATTATTGTTGGAGAGAGACACCCATGAGGTGGCACAGAGATTAGACTATAGAAGAACAACATCTGTAAAGCCAAGCTCAGAGATCAACAGATTATAAAGTCATGGATGACGACTTTTAATTCCTACAATCCACCTAAATTAGTATCTAATCATCATCTGTTGAAAAGTCTAAAACTTCTGTTGGCAATGAATGCCCACAAAGCTAAAGTCATCTGCATGGGCAAAGTTTTCAATGCCCATGCTGAATGAAAGTGTCAGAGGTACATTTTAAATTTCAAGATGCATTAACTGCATCAGTTCGAGTTGCTCTATAAATAGAGCACTCGCATGTAACAGATGATAGATGAAGAAGAAATACAAGAGAGAAATATCAATAACATCATATATTCCTCTGCCTTTTATTATCTGTCTGTGCTATAGTTTTTGTGTGGCATTTTACATCTACCTTGCACCTACCACTTAAAAAGGTTATCTCTCAAACTTTAACCCTTTTATAACACGTTATCAGCACGAGTCTCTAAATATATTTATTCTCTCATCTCTCTTCGCCGAACGAACGAAAGAAAGAAAAAAAAAAAAAATGTTTCCTTTAAGGTTTTTACTGTTCATCTTCTTCCTCTGCCTCAACTGCGCCGTGTACCCTCGCGACGAGTTGTTTGCTCCATGCCTGCTCATAGTTCTCCAACTAACGGTTACATACATTTTTGATTACTTGTTTGGCGTAGAGATTGATTACTAACCTAGTATTTATTTGTGTTAATTCTACTGCAATCCAAGATGGTGCGGTACAATCGCCCATCTTGAACTGCAAATTTAATCTTACTGCGATCCAAGACGGTGCGGTATCATCGCCTATCTTGGACTGCAGATTTAATTTTACTGCAATTTTTAGGTGGAGCGGTATAATCGCACACCCTACCCTGCATATTCGAATTTACCTGCTGTTTAATTTCATTGCAATTTTATGTGGTGCGGTATAATCGCCTACGCTGCTCTGCATATTTAATTTTCCTGTTACTTGAGTGGTGCGAAATAATCGCCCATTCTATATTACATTATTTCAATGAGAATGGTGCGGTACGATCGCCCTCCTCATTCACCCTGAAAATCTCGAGCCAGAAGTTTCGAGTGCTTATCATTTTGGCCTGAAGATCAAAATGAAAAATTTGTAAGAACCAGAAGTTCTAACATCATATTCCTCCAGGAATACATATTATTGCAAGTTCTTACACATCTCATTTTCTTTCAGAAAAGAAAATGGCGAACTTGGCGAAGCTTGAATTTGCTGCCCTGGATATTACTGGGAAGAATTATCTGACCTGGGTACTGGATACCAAGATCCATCTGGAAGCAGGGAATCTTGGAGATACCATCAGGGAAGAGAGCAACTCATCCTCTCAAGATCGGGCAAAGGCCATGATTTTCATTCGCCGCCATCTTGATGAGGCGCTAAAGAGCGAGTACTTAACGGTTGAAGATCCGTTAGCTCTCTGGAATGCCTTGAGAAGCAGATACAATCACCAGACAACGGTGATTCTTCCAAGGGCCCGCTATGAGTGGACTCATCTAAGGATTCAAGACTTCAAGTCAGTGGCAGAATACAATTCTGCATTGTTCAGAATTACCTCTCAGATGAAGCTCTGTGGGGATATTATTACTGAGGAGCATATGCTGGAAAAGACTCTCAGCACATTTCATGCCTCCAACGTGCTCCTGCAGCAGCAGTATAGAGCGCGAGGCTACACTGAGTACAACCAGCTGATATCTGTGCTCTTAGTAGCTGAACAGAATGATGAGCTCCTGATGAAAAACCATCATTCCCGACCTACTAGATCTGCACCATTCCCAGAAGTGAATGCTGCTTCCCTCGGAGTGAACACCACATCCTCTGGTGGTGATAATCATAAACGAGGACGTGGCCACAAGCGAGGTCGATGGAATAGGAAAGGCAAGAACCATGGAGTTCAGTTTCATAACCAGGTTCCCAGGAATAATTCAGGCCCGAGCTTCAAAAATGTGAATCGCCACAAAGGCAAAGCTCATATGAACAATGCTCCTAGAAACTCTGAAGGAGCCTACCATAGGTGTGGTGGCAATGGGCATTGGGCGCGTACTTGTCGTACCCCTAAACATCTAGTGGATCTGTATCAAGCCTCCCTCAAGGAGAAGGGTGTCGAGACTAACTTTCTCGACGAGGCTAGACCAATGGATATACCTGATCCAGTGTTTGACTTATCAGGGCAGTTGAACACAACTCATCTAGATGTTTCAGACTATATTGTAGAAAGGGGAAATGAAGTATATCGGTCCGATTGAATCATTAATGTACTTTTATTATACTGAACTTGTAGTATTCTCAGATTCAATAAAAGTGGCATGTAAATTTTCTTGTTATAACTTGCTTTTAATTCTGATTCTCTTACTCAGAGAGCATGGATAAAAACTGTGGTTATTCTCAGAACATGAGAAATGGTGGAGATATTTGTCTTGCAGACAGTGCAACCACACATACAATACTTCGTGATCGAAAGTATTTCTCAAGCTTAATACCTACAAGAGTAGGGGTAACAACAATATCAGGACCTTCAGATGTAATTCAAGGTTCAGGGCAAGCCCAGATTATGTTACCAAATGGAACAATATTGTCCATACATAATGCATTGTATGCTACTCGATCTACTCGAAATTTGTTGAGTTTCAAAGACATACGTCTAAATGGATACCACATTGAAACAAAAAGTGCAGAAAATGTGGAGTATCTATGCATTACCTCCAATGATACCCAGAAGCGTATATTGGAGAAGTTGCGTGGTATGTCGAGTGGATTATATTATACATACATAAGGACAATTGAATCACATACTGTCATGAACCAGAAGTTCATTGATTCAAAGGTTTACATGCTTTGGCATGACCGTCTGGGTCATCCAGGATCTACCATGATGCGTAGGATCATTACCAACTCTAATGGACATCCATTAGTGAGCAGACACATTGTTGCCTCAAATGATAACCCTTGCAAAGCTTGTTCTCAAGGGAAGTTGGTAATTAGACCATCACAACTAAAGGTTGATGCTGAATCCCCATCATTTCTGCAAAGAATTCAAGGGGATATTTGTGGGCCTATTCAACCATCATGTGGACCATTTCGATATTTTATGGTTTTGGTTGATGCATCTACCCGATGGTCACATATTTGTCTCTTGTCTACTCGGAATGTAGCCTTTGCGAGACTACTTGCTCAAATAATTAAGTTACGAGCACAGTTCCCAGATTATCCCATTAAGTCAATCCGACTTGATAATGCTGGTGAATTTACGTCTCAAACCTTTGATGATTATTGCATGACATTGGGCATTGATGTTGAACACCCTGTTCCTCATGTCCATACTCAAAATGGTTTAGCAGAAGCATTGATTAAGCGGCTTCAGTTAATAGCTCGCACTCTGCTCATGAAAACCAAATTGCCAGTCTCTGCATGGGGACATGCCATCCTACATGCTGCATCATTGGTTCGATTGAGACCTATAGCCAACCATCAATACTCTTCAGTACAACTCGTGTTTGGACATCAGCCAAACATTTCCCATTTACGAGTTTTTGGTTGTGCTGTTTATGTGCCTATTGCACCGCTGCAACGCACTAAAATGGGACCTCAGCGTAGACTGGGAATTTACGTGGGTTTTGATTCACCATCTATCATTAGATATTTGGAACCCTTGACAGGTGATATGTTTACAGCTCGTTTTGCTGATTGTCACTTTGATGAGACAATTTTCCCGTTGTTAGGGGGAGAAAAGACCGTTCCAGAAGAACGGAAAGAGCTGACATGGGTTGTTCCCACCTTGTCTCATTTTGATCCTCGCAACATTCAATGTGAAAATGAAGTGAGAAGGATCGTTCATCTTCAAAGCATTGCCAATCAAATGCCAGATGCATTTAATGATGCTATGAAAGTGACAAAATCAAATATACCAGCTGCAAATGCACCTGCAAGAATTAATGTCCCTGTTGGACAAAATAAAGTGGCAGCAAATGATTCATCTGGTGCACGCCTGAAGCGTGGTAGACCTCCAGGTTCAAAAGATTCAGCTCCTCGAAAGAGAAAGTCGAGGGCACAACTGAATCCAAATGAAATCATTCAGGAAGAGAAAATGAATGATACATCCACAATTCATAATTCTGGACTTCCAGAAAAAGAAAATGTCCTTGATGAGACATCTGTCCCTGAAGAGACAGAAGTACATGAAAGCAAAGAAATCTCCATAAATTATGCATGTACAAATGAATTGTGGGATCGGAATGAAATAATCATTGATGATATGTTTGCATTTGCAGTAGCCACTGAAATCATCTTAAGTGATGATATTGAGCCCCGCTCTGTTGATGAATGCAAACAGAGACAGGATTGGCCTAAGTGGAAAGATGCAATCCAGGCAGAATTAAATTCATTGGAAAAGCGGAATGTTTTTGGACCAGTAGTCCAAACCCCGCCTAGCGTAAACCCCGTGGGTTACAAATGGGTATTCACAAGGAAACGCAATGAGAAAAACGAGATCGCAAGATACAAAGCACGACTCGTTGCACAAGGTTTTTCTCAAAGACCTGGAATTGATTATGAGGAGACATACTCTCCTGTAATGGACGCAATTACGTTCCGTTACTTAATAAGTTTAGTGGTTTCAGAAAGACTTGACATGCGACTTATGGATGTCATCACTGCGTATCTATATGGAGAATTAGATACTGACATCTATATGAAAGTCCCAGAAGGACTTAAGTTGCCTGAAACAAGTAATAAACCACGAGGTATGCTCTCGATCAAATTAAGGCGATCATTGTATGGTCTGAAGCAATCTGGACGAATGTGGTATAATCGTCTCAGTGAGTATTTGATCAAAGAAGGGTATATCAACAATGTTATTTGCCCTTGTGTGTTCATTAAGAAATCCAATTCTGGATTCGCTATAGTAGCAGTATATGTTGATGATATGAATCTAGTTGGGACTCCTGAAGAGCTCAATAAAACTGCTGAATATCTGAAAAGCGAATTTGAAATGAAAGACCTTGGAAAAACAAAATATTGTCTCGGCCTGCAGATCGAGCATTGTGCTAGTGGAATTCTGGTCCACCAATCAGCTTACATTGAAAAAATTCTGAAGCGATTTGGTATGGACAAGGCTTATCCACTAAGCACGCCAATGGTTGTTCGTTCTTTGGACATTAAGAAAGATCCATTTCGTCCAAAAGAAGATGATGAGCTGGTCCTTGGTCCAGAAGTACCATATTTGAGTGCAGTAGGTGCTTTGTTGTATTTAGCACAATGTACTAGACCAGATATAGCTTTTTCAGTTAATTTGTTAGCAAGGTATAGCTCTGCTCCAACAATTCGTCATTGGAAGGGTATCAAAGATGTATTGCGATACCTTCGTGGGACAGCAGACATGGGTCTCTTCTACTCAAAGAACTCCACAGATGACCAGGTCCTTGTTGGATATGCAGATGCTGGCTTTCTCTCTGATCCGCATAAAGCCCGCTCACAAACTGGATATGTGTTTAAGAATGGAGATACAGCAATCTCATGGCGCTCAACCAAGCAAACATTAGTTGCTACATCTTCAAATCATTCAGAAATACTTGCTTTACATGAAGCAAGTCGTGAATGTTCTTGGTTAAGATCAATGATCCATCATATCCGGAATTCATGTGGTCTAACTTCGAAGACAGACAATCCAATTGTCATCCATGAAGATAATGCAGCTTGTGTTGCCCAAATGAAGGAAGGATTCATCAAGGGCGATAAGACTAAACACATATCTCCAAAGTTTTTCAGTGCTCATGAGCTTCAGAAGGCTAAAGTTATTGAAGTCAGACAAATCCGTTCAAATGAAAATCTGGCAGACTTGTTCACCAAATCTCTACCAAAGTGCACATTTCAGAAGTTAGTGCAAGGCATCGGATTACGTCGACTTACCAAACAGCTAAATTTGGAAAATGCGGAATCAGGGGGAGAAACATATCAGGGGGAGTATCCATGATACATGCTTGTTGTACTCTTTTTCCTTCGATTAGGATTTTTCCCACTGGGTTTTTCCTATCAAGGTTTTAACGAGGCAACATAAGCATACTTGACACTATATCAACGATCCAGGAAAAGTTGTACTCTTTTTCCTTCGCTATGGTTTTTTCCCACTGGGTTTTTCCAAGCAAGGTTTTAACGAGGCAACTCATGTTGATATGTGGGCATCCAAGGGGGAGTGTTGAAAAGTCTAAAACTTCTGTTGGCAATGAATGCCCACAAAGCTAAAGTCATCTGCATGGGCAAAGTTTTCAATGCCCATGCTGAATGAAAGTGTCAGAGGTACATTTTAAATTTCAAGATGCATTAACTGCATCAGTTCGAGTTGCTCTATAAATAGAGCACTCGCATGTAACAGATGATAGATGAAGAAGAAATACAAGAGAGAAATATCAATAACATCATATATTCCTCTGCCTTTTATTATCTGTCTGTGCTATAGTTTTTGTGTGGCATTTTACATCTACCTTGCACCTACCACTTAAAAAGGTTATCTCTCAAACTTTAACCCTTTTATAACATCATCATCCTTTTAATGCCTTGTTTCTTTCATCGACGACTCTCTGGTTTTTTGCACACGTCTTGCATGTGGAGTTTTGGTTCTTGTTTTGTCATGGAAGTGGAAATCTGTAGCGGTCGGTCACTACAATTCTTAGTAGATTCGCATGCGCAATAGATCCAGTCAAATATTTAACTAATGTTTTTGCCATTATATTCTACATTTCCAACTTCTCTATTTTGTTGTTTATTTCAATCCATAATATTTACAAAAATATTTTACAAGTCAATATATCCAGGTTTTGGTTTACCACAGGTTCTGATTAAAAATGTACAAATATTTATAATAATCATTAGGAAACCTCCTCCAATTAAAAAAAGACACACGGCATGGAACCATACAAGTTCTGATTAAAATTGTACAATATATAAGTATTCTGAAATCTCCTCCAACCAAAAAAGAAACAACACCTAGGTATCGAACTCATTATTTATATATATAACATCTGAAACTTCCTTCAACCTAGTAAAAATAACTACTGAAACAAGTATAGAAGAACTTGGTTTATAAAATGGTAAACTTGTTCCTAACCTAATTCAAACTATCAAGGGGATTTAAACTCCAAGCAGAACGGAGCACACACTTCTGTAAACAACCAAATGTACCAGACCAATGTACCCTTTCATCGTTCTGACATTCTTTTCTTTGTGTTGTGATGAAAAGGTGAGTATAAAAACTAGAGTCGTGGTGGGTTGGTGTTCAATGACCAATAAGGCTTTTGGTTGAGAGCTCTGCCACCATACAACACAAGATTTGGGCTAGTCATCTTGTCACTCTCCACGAGTTTTGGTAAAACCCAAAAAATCAGCCGGACCCTGTTCCATTTTTTTAACAAGGTTAAATTTCGTCCATGTAAACAAGATTATTATCCCTATACACATTTTGTAAACGACAAACAAAAGATCTGGAAATTTCTTGTGTACTATTTGTGATATAATTTTCTAATACGACTTTGTGACGGAAATGGGACCTTCATTCAGCACCGTTAAATACAAGGCCCCGGAACTCCGTAGAACTACGATACTGACAAGAAGTTGTCCATCAGCATCCATGGTGGTTGCCATCGCAAAAAGATGAGATATAAGTGTCAAAATTTAGAAAATTAGTAGAAAAAGGCAGGGCATCCATCTCTTTCCATCCCCTCCCATCCATTCATCTTATATTCTCTATTTTGTTTAAAAAAATAATATAAGATGTTGACGTGATTTAATCGTGACCGTTCCAATAGAAGGGGAGGGAAGGGTTGAGAAAAAAAGAGAAGAGAGAATTTTACTCTTAAAATAACATCCACTTCTCATTTGCCATGTAAAGATTTTTTTGACGTCACTGATTATATGCAAATGGTACAAATTGTGATAAGACAGATTACCTCCTCATCTTCCTCCAAGTATAAAATCCATTACATTGATCATGAACTTCATCTGCCTTTTTCCCTATCAAACAAATAACCAGCCTTTGATGGTCCATGAAAATGCAGCAAAGTGGTCCATGGCTTCATATCCAGAGGACCAGACAAACTACCAGTATTTAAGCAACATGCTTTCTATCCCCATCATTTCACCCAACTTAGGTGATAAAAACTGACCTCTCCGTTTCCTTGCAGAAAAAAGAAAAAAAAAATTGACCTAAAAGTGCCGCCATATGGAAGAGAGGAAAGGAACTGGGCTATCTAACGAAACGCGACTTAACTAGGTCGAATCCAGATACCTATGTATGGAAGGTGTGAACATAACATCCACCACAATGGCGTATCCAGTGTAGGTAAGTCTTTCTCGTCTTTACCGAAGAGACTCAAGTGAACTCAAAACTACCACTTAAAAGTCATTCGTTAACTCAAGATTGCAGAAAACATCAACGAGTGCAAAATCAATTGAAAATGAGTTTTTCTATATGTATAGATATGCGAATTTAACTGTTTAGACGATGAAACCATCATATCTGACGACTTAAAAGATCCCATCACACAATGTGTGTAATACATCAATGCATCGTAGAATTTTTGCACAAAAATGGTAACACATCAATGTCATCAAAATCGACCGCATTTATGTTATAACAACAAAAGAGTTATAATTTAAGTGTTACGAATTTAACTGTTTAGACGATGAAACCATCATATCTGACGACTTAAAAGATCCCATCACACAATGTGTGTAATACATCAATGCATCGTAGAATTTTTGCACAAAAATAGTAATACATCAATGTCATCAAAATCGACCGCATTTATGTTATAACAACGAAAGAGTTATAATTTAAGTGTTACGAATTTTTATAGCATAAGTAATGTAAAGCATATACACTCGCACATTCAGCCACCACCAACAAATCACAGATATAAGTAGAAATTTTGTATTCCATTCTCTGTAATCTAATCTATAGCTTTCTCGATACGAGAACAGAGCATGCATTACGTATCAAGTATCTAAAAGCTCCATCTATTTCCCAAAACAAAAACAAAAACAACCACCAAAAGAAACTGAAAAAAAATCAATGAAAGAGGAACCTTCACATTAGCCTCAGAAAATCAGAAAACAAGGGATTAAATCGTACCGATTTCCCGTTCTTCTTCCCTACTCGGTATCCGAAGGCAGATGCGGAGGGGAAGCAACGGCAGCAGCAGCAGCGGCACTCTCCTCAACCATCAAGTTCTGCAACCCGGGTCTTAATTCTGTATTACAAAACTGCTCGTACTCAGCTTTGTCCCCTGCTTTCTTCTTAACCTCCAACACCACCAACGAAGACGTAAGTTCGAATACCTCCGCTGCAATTGTCAATGGCCCCTTCACACCTTCCCTAGACCCCTCCAAGCTCACTCTGCAATCCTTCTTCCTCACGGAAAAGCTCACAACTTTCGCAATCTCCTCCAATTTCGATATGATGGTCGAAACAGGGGCGCCCGACACAAACCTGGCCTCCTCTCCCCGCTCCTCAAACAACCCCGACAAATCAAACCCCGGAGAAAACGAGATTATATCAAACGCATTCAAGCTGGCCGGTCTGGGTAAAGATGTAATCTTTCTTCTGGTCTCAAACTCCGCCTCAGATTCCGACATACAATCCGAGACAGAGCTCACATCACTAAACCTGTCCTCCTCATCATCATCAAGAACATTGCAAAGCCGATCATCGTGATCAATGTAGAACTTGATGTGCTTAAAACCCTTTTTAAACCAGCGATTCTCCATCACCTCCGGGATTGTAATCCTCGAACCCGGATTTGAGTCGAGAAGGCGGGTTAAAAGCCGAACAAGCTCGGCACTGAACCATCTGGGGCATCGAAATTCGCCTTTGTATATTTTCTTGTACATCGCCATAACATTTTGGTCATGGAAGGGTAAATATCCAGCCATGAGCACGAACAAAACAACACCACAAGACCAAATATCCACCTTCGCGGCGTCGTACCCTTTCCGGCCCAAAACCTCCGGCGCCACATAAGCCGGCGTGCCGCAAAACGTGTGAAAGAGACCATCTTGTCGAATTTCATCGGAAACCGCACTCAACCCAAAATCCGAAACCTTGAGATCTCCGTTCTCGTCGAGCAATAGGTTCTCCGGCTTCAAATCGCGGTGGTAGACGCCGCGGGCGTGGCAGAATCCGACGGCAGAGATTAGCTGCTGGAAATATTTTCTCGCAACTTCCTCCTTCAGCCGGCCCTTGGCGACCTTGTTAAAGAGCTCGCCGCCGCGGACGTACTCCATGACGAAGTAGATCTTCGCTTTCGTGGCCATGACCTCGAAGAGCTGGACGATGTTCGGGTGGCGGACGCGGCGCAGGATCGAGATCTCGCGCTTTATATGGGCGATCAAACCACCTTTCAGAATCTTCTCCTTGTCGATGACTTTGATGGCGACGCTCTCGTTGGTTTTGATGTTCTTGGCGTGGTATACTTTGGCGAAGGTGCCATGGCCGAGGAGTTTGCCGATTTCGAAGCGACCCAGAAGCAGAGCAGGGCAGTTTTTGGTTTTGCTGGTTGTGCGGACGGGAGTTGTGGCCGTGGTTGGGGCTGTGCGGGTGGAAGCGCCGCCGTTGTCGGTGGCTTTGGGGTTGAAGTCTGCCATTCCTTGGGGGAATGGACGGCCGGTCCTTTCTCTCGCGATTTCTCCGAGTAGGGATCTTTTGTACTTTTGTTTTGTTTATTTGTGATTCGAATGATTGAAGCTCTTAAGCTTTTTGTTGAGTTTGGGAATTGTTGGGTTGGGATGTGATTTTTTGGTTTGTTGGAATTTCGTATTTTTGAGCGGTGGGTGTAAAAAGATATTTTATATGGAGTTGGAGACATGGATGTTCCCGTAGGGCAGGAGTATATACCCTCCACACCCCCACTACCATCCTCCTTTCCTTTTTCTTTTTTTTTTCGGTAAAGTTTAAATTTTAGAGGTATTCATCAATTCTCCCCCTGAACTTGTGACCATTAGCCAATTTCTCACCTCAACTTTAATTTTGGCCAATTTCCCCCCTCAACTCTCATAATTAGTCAATTTCCCCCCTCAACTTTAATTTAGCCAATTTCCCCCCTCAACTCTTATAATTAGTCAATTTGCACCCTACTGTTAATTTTTTAATTTGATCATAATTAAACAAGTGTGTGTAAGAAACCAAATGAGATGTATGTTAATCATGTTCCTATATCTTTATCCTATTACAAATAGATTAAAATTTAGAATTTTACAATTTATCATAGATAGTATTATTAGTCATCATAAATCAGTATGGAGTAATTTTATTTGATTTTTGACCATACAAAATTGATAACGAAAATGATTGATGTGTAAATTTTTGTATGTGAATACAATTTTCTTTATAAAAGTGAAAGCTAAGTTCAAGTAAATTGCGGAGAATCGAGCTTTAGTGAAAAAATGGCTCATCTATTCATAATTTTCGACTCCTTACTAAGAATAACTCATTTTATTGAAATAGGTATGATGTGACATCCCACATCGCCCATGGGAGTGATCCTTATATGTATATTCTCATCCTTACCTAGCACGAGGCCTTTTGGGAGCTCATTGGCTTCGGATTCCGTAGGAACTCCGAAGTTAAGCGAGAAGGGGGTTGGAGCAATCCCATGATGGGTGACTCACTGGGAAGTTGCTCGTGAGTTCCCAAAAACAAAACCGTGAGGGAATGGTAAGCCCAAAGCGGACAATATCGTGCTACGGTGGTGGAGCGGGCCCGGGAAGTGGTCTCGCCTGGGCCGGGATGTGACATATGATCCATGAGTTTAGGATTGTTATTTCTTTTTGTTATTATTTCTTCTTCTACATGCTTTAAAAACGATTCATAACTTTTTCTTATAATCAACCCATATCACATATTAATTGTATTATGTTTTTGTACATTTTACCCTATATTATGCAGGTGAGTTTATGTTAATTTTAGTACTTTGTTGGAAGTTATTAGAAAGATTGAAAATTAAAAAAAGAATAGATGGAAAATTAAAAATAAAAAAAATTAACAGTAGGGTGCAAATTGACTAATTTTGAGAGTTGAGGAGGGAAATTGGCTAAATTAAAGTTGAGTGGGGAAATTAACTAATTATGAGAGTTGAGGGGGAAATTGGCCAAAATTAAAGTTGAGGGGGAAAATTGGCCAATGGTCACAAGTTCAGGGGGGAAATTGATGAATATCTCTAAATTTTAATTTAAATAGGCATGTTATATATATTTTTTATTTTATAGAGGAGTTATTTATTAATTTTTTCTTCAAACTTGTAAGAATCCGCTAATTTTACCCAATAACTTTTTTAAAAAATTCTCTAGATTTAATTTTAGCTGATTACGTGTTGAATTTTAATTTATCCGATTATCCCCTAAACTTTTACAATTGGCAAATTTCTTCCTTGAACAATTTATAACTACAAAAAGTTAATTTTATTTCTATTGTGGAGAATATATTTCTTTCTCTTCTTCTTCTCTTCTGCTAGTTCACTTCGTTTACTTTTTGTTTGAATTTTAAGTTTAGTGTTTAAGGGGAAAATTAAAGTTAATGAGAAATTGGCCAATTATAAAAGTTTAGAGAGTAATCGGTTAAAATTAAAATTCAAGAGAAAAATTAGGTAATTGTAAAAAGTTAGGGGGATAATCAGCTAAAACTAAAATTCAAGAGAAAAATTAGTAGCTCCTTACAAGTTCAAAAAAAAATAAAGGACTAATACATCTTTGTAAAAGTTATTTTGTATTTAATTGTTTATTATTGGGTTCTAAATTTATTCATTTGCCACGTATAAGAATAAGACGCTTACGAAAAGTTCAGAGAAAATATGTTCCGAAATTGTGTACATCGGTGTCTTTTTTTATTAGGAAAACTAATGAAAAAGGTTTGAAAATTTTGAGTTTTAATGATAGGGACAAAACAAAGGGTTAAGTGAATAGTACCAGGATTGACTTTTTAGTCTAAAAATATGATTTTTCGTTAAAATGAACAATACGAGTATTTTTCGTTAAAGTTACTTTTTTTTTATTTTGTCAAAAAGGTTAAGTTTTTTGTCACAAAAATTGGCCTAAGTTTTTGCTAGCAACTTACCTAAATTCCAAAAAGAAAAAAGACATATAATATAAAGTTAGTTGCTATATTTGTTAATTGTTTTGGTTAAGAACATTGTTTAGTTTATTGGTCACCAATCAACCATATTATGCTAATGGTGACCAATTGGTTTAAACAAAAATACTTTGCGACAACTTTTATGTCGAATGTGCCCGCATGCGACAAATATATTAGTTAACAAAATAATTGGACACTATTGTATCAATTAGTTGGTGAAAAATACTTGAACAAAATATTAGTCTAATTAGTTAGAATTAAAAAAAAAAAAAATGTTTGATGAGAAGCAGTCCTCTTTAAATATCCATTAACTTATTGTCAAGCTGTCACATTGCAATATTAGCAAATAAGTCTTTAAAAGTCATTATCTTTACTGCACGCGAAGGGTTAAAGGTCAAACTTTTATCATAAATATTGATAACGATTATTGTTACGACTATAAACTTTCGCGCCAAAGGAAATCAATTTAGTAAACAAGAGGTTAATTTTTAGGTAATGCTAGAAAGACTATTTAAATTATATTTTGTAAATTATATAACGTGATTGTTGATGATTAAATTATAACTTAAGTGTTGATTAATATATTTATTTCTTATTTGTAACATATCATATAGTTTGTAAATTTGTATAAAAAGTTGGTCGCATTACTCTTAATTTCCTTTTCAAAGATCAAAGCAGCACATGCAAACATCGCAAACATGTTTGACCTAAAAGCAGAGTATGATTCTCTCATCTTCAAATTCTTTTCTTCCTTATCCTGTTTTATTTGAACTGGTCACAATTAAACAATGTCAACATTTTGTATTAACGGATTTATTGAAAGAGAAAGAGAAAGAGAAAAATATGGAAGAGGGGATTAAAGAAAAAAAATATTTACAGGAAAGAAAATCCTACCTCAAAAAACACACGAGAATTGCAACTTCCTGGTGGACAGCCCAACGTAAATTAACCTCTTTTTTTAATAAGGTAAATGTAAATTAACCTAAGATGGTAATACTAGAGAACTAAATTTGTAAACTAAAGGATGTGTCACTAATAGAAATAAACAATTTTATCAACGCTTAAGTCTCATCAACTTTCATATTATTTAATTTATAAAATTTTAATTATAATTTAATTTCCCTTACATTATTTTTACAAATTTAATCTTCTTAACGTTACTTTCAAAAATACATACAAACTCTAACGGCTCTTTCTGTGTAGAAAAGTCATGAGAGATATATGCAAGTTGTAGTCGTTTCGAGGTGGCAATCTGGAGAGTGGATGGGCCTTTTCCTGCCTCAGAGGACGAGGGAGACTTGGGACCTGGTTAGCTTATTTCCAACCAAGTAATATCAAGCCACCTTGTGGCCAACACGTGTGTCTTACACAATGATGCTGACTACACCACACCTAGGCAATCTATATATCCTACGTAATCCATGAAACCGTTTCTTCAAACCCTACTTATCTCAAAAAGCATAAGAAGCTTTCACGCAACAAAAATATCATTATAACATATCTTTAAATTTATTCACATTGTTAAGTGTGTAAAATGCCAAACATTGTAACTTTCCATGTATTCCTAAATCACAAAGCTCAATTATTAAATGTATTAGTTGGATTAGTGTTCAGGATACTTGAAAACTCTGAAGTTTGAAGTGGACATGTTTGTTAGCTAGCTGGTACAAATTTACAAAGTGAGAAATTCAAAACGCATAACAATGCGTGATTGGCTTGTAATACTACTATAAATACCTACATTGATGTTGTTCCATGTGATAATATATGCACAATACGATGACACAACGTCATCCTAATTATGACACAAATGCAATTCATAATTAACATCGCTCTATATATAATAATTAAACGTTAATTTTTTCTCATTTACTTTTGAATGTTAACTATTTTCATTCTAAATAATAATGTGAGTTATTCTTGCAATATTATTCTGTGCATCACCCATTTTTAGTTGGACATAAACATGACACGAGTATATATATATATCTATGTAAACATGACCTTGTTTCCACCCAATAAGCTTCTCTCCACTTAATGTCGTTGACAAGTTATCTTTCTTTGATACAAGCAACATTGATGTCTAAGTGTAAGCTTTAAAGTTTAAATAACTTCAACTACAAGTTCATTACGAAATAATTTTCGTTATTATTTGAAAAAGTAATTTTTGTACCCTTCTATTTATTACTAAAAGGTTAAAAAACTGAGAAAAGGTAAGGAGATTTTCACAAAAAATGAGAAGACTCTCTGCTATATCAATAATTAACGTCAATTCATGTGCTAACATTATAAAATATTGTGTTAAAAACATAAGATGTCAAATAATTTATGAAGAGTACCACTTTTGAGAGACCCTCTTTAGCATTTCTCAAAAAAAATTGGGGAAATTAATTTCCCAATTACTATCACACCGTCATCACGTGTAACATCATGCTTTTCTATGCTATACTGCACGGTAACATTTGCCGCCCGTATTCTAGGAAATTATACAAGGGGACTTATCTGGCACGGCGCGACACACAAGGCTCAATCCATGAATTTTGAACTAGGCTAAGTTGACAACTTGATTATGAGAATGTCAACTTAATGGTCGGCGCTGATTTTACACATCTACGGCAAGCAACTGTTGCAGAATCCTGAGCATTGCCGTCTTTTTGACTATTTTACAATAAGGACATGCATTTTGATTAGGGTCTTATTCTATAATAACGAGTCTACCATATAAGTCGTTTCTATTTTCTCGGAAATCGATTTTACGGTATAAACGCTTATGATCTCTCCTTTTATATCATGTGCTAATGTTTCCTTTAACATTACGATCTTTACCACAACGATGTTGTACATAGATCAAATTATTGCGCGCCTTGAATTTCACTTGATCGTCTACATCTTTATTGCATGTGCTCGAGATAGAAGTTTTGGGCCTCCATAATTTTATGATTGCAGTCCACGTGAGGGGAGGGCGTGGAGGTGGGGTGGGTGTTTGTTGTCCATGATGCATATTCGACTGGCTAAATGAAAATTGGTGCCTACCACCAATCCATGACAAAAAGATTAATAATTTGAATAATTATGGTTATCAAACTCTTAGGGAAATAAATAAATATTTGAAAATTAAATAACAACATATCTAACTTGTATAATTCTTCCATGACAACCTAATGTATACCATGCATTTCTTCTTTTTCTATGGCTACCGTAAACTAAAAGAAATACAAATTATGTTTCTTGTTGGTTGAATATACATATATATTTTTAATATAATAAACAAATACAACGCCAAACTTGACACTTCGTATCCGTAAGTAATGTTTAAAATATCTACAAAATTATCTATATTTGTGTCTAAATATCTGAAAAATCAAGGATCAATATGGAAGACGGTTGAAATGCTAACTTCACCATATATTGGCGAGATATATGAAAATCAATTAATATCGATGAAATTTACAAATTCACTGCATAAATTTTGCCGTAACCCATTGCAGATTTTGAACTTTTGAATTTTTTTCGAAAAAAAAAATTCTTTAAATTTCAACTAAATTTGAATAAGTTGCGATACCCACCTCATTGCAAATTTCTCTCATTTTCATCAAAAGCAACTTATCGATATTGATTTATCCATCGATATTTCCGCTTATATCAAATTATCAATATTAAAACACTACCTGTAAGAAATTAAAATTTGTATTATGTTACAGGAAAAAAGAGTTATTGTAACATAATAAAACTTCGGTTATTTTTTGCTTAAATAAAAACCAACTATGAGGGCCCTCTGATGAGCCCAGCTTTTACAACATATAGCAGATCAAGTAAACTCTTAAATGCGAAGGCCCAAAGAGATACTGTGATATCAACAGGGCCAGGTTTCAAGCTCTAGCTTTTCTTGAATGGTAACAATTTACTTGTATAGGAACAAGTTTCCTTAAGCTAAAAAAGTTGAGTGTAGCCACATTAGTTAGAATAAATGCGCTCATTTTATGTGTTCGAGTTCAATTTTTGTCTTTACCGTTTAGATTAATTTAAAGTAGAAAATAAATATTGTATTAATAAAGGATAAAATATACCAAAATACATATTATCAATATTACTTTAATCATCATCTTGTACGTATATTCCAAGCTATGTTGCATAAATACTCCAAAACTCCAAAGTGCGGAGTCTTGGACACGCCTTGAATACGGTTTGGACATGATCAACAATTTGGACAGACACGGCAGGTTTTTTTTTTTTTGGTAAATATAAAAGATATTTTGGGGCATTTCTGTAAATGTAAAAACTTTTAAAACCTAAAAAACTTGCCTTTTGGTCTTACCTGACTCCACTACTCTGTATCTCCTCAAAACTTGGAATGACTCTTGCCACTCCCCTCTGCCGCGGTAGCTGGCTAAAATCCAGCCGAATACATGGGAATTAGGCTGCACATAGCTAGCTTCCATATCTCTTTCAACACAATTTTTGCACTTTCCTACCTACCTGCATTCGCATAGGCATCAATGATGAGCAGACTGGAAGGGTGCTCATCGGGTGAAATGCAGCTTTTTTTCCATCTTGGACACGATGGATTTGGCATCTTTCAGTTGACCTGCCTTCACATAGCCTTTGAGGAGGGCATTGTAAGCCCTGGGCCTGGGATGCAATCCTCCTTCTATTACCTAAATGTTTGTGTGTTTAATTATTATTCATGAATTTGATGAATACAAATACTTTGTTATGTTCTCAATTCCAAATATTGTTTTTAATATATGTAATTTTTTGTCATAAATTTATATAATTTTAATTCTCGTGTCTTACCCGTGTCTGTGTTCTTATATTTGAGATTTGTCGTGTCGCCGTATCCATATCTGTGCAACATAGATTCTAAGAAGTATTCATCTATCTGTATATCTTTATATACCCACAAACCCTAATAAGCGTGAAATTGATTGCTGCATCGACTTAATATATTAAGCACTTGCAGTTGCTGAACAATTTTAAATGAGCAAAAGTTAGAGCTCCGATCTTCAAATGACTGAATAAAAAGTTCCGCAACCAATAGGAGAAGAAGAAGAAATTGTCAGGAAAAATGTTCCAAAACAAGATGGCTCGTCTTTTGGTCTGCTGACTGAGAAAAGTTTTTTCCTGTCAAACAATAAGAACAGACGGTCACAAACTGATCAACTAGAAAAAGAGTTGTTTGGCTCCTAATGTGTAAGGAGTTTCCTGTTTGACATCAAATAACAGTTTGACATGTGAAGAAACAGCTTGCTAAAAGAATAAAAGAAAATTTTATGCAAGCGAATGTCAAAATTGTGATACTTCTTTCATGTGATAAGGAGCTGATCGAGTATTTGAAATGTGACATCTCAGACGTGAATAACGCAAACACAAGCTGGGGCAAGGGACAAAGAGGGTGAGAGATTTAGGCACAAACCTGCATGCTTCTGGCTTGGAGAAACCGGATGACTATTTCTTAAGGCGATAAAACTATCTTAGGAAAATGCTGAGATCTCCTCTATTAGTTTTTCGTGAAAAAAGAAGAAAGAAACAGAAACAAAACTACAAAACTTTGTAAGTCCAAACAATCAAAAGTTCATATTTTCAAACCATGTATTGCACAGTTGCACTAGTGTACAAGCCTCAATTGACTTTAGAGGGAGGTAAAAAAAACACAAGAACTTTGTGATTTCATTATTCTTAACTCAACATTTAAGTACAAGATTAATTCATAATTTTTGGAAACAATTTGCTATAAATAAACGTGTAAAGGAACAAAATCGACATTAGAGTAACAACACAAACCTGGAAATCCAGTCACGCCAATAAATTATAAAATCGCCAGGCCTTGTACTGGAATAAAATTTAGAAAATTCATATTCATCCATCTCTAAATTTCTGCATGAAATAAAGGAAATGATTTGTAGCTCAATCACATATTAATACAAATTATTTAACTTCTACCAGACCAAAAACGAAGGCAAGATGCAAATATTCAACATTGTATGGTACTGGTTTTCACAGAAAGAGAAGCAAACAAATTTTAAGAGATCAGTCCTAGGATCAGCCACAATTTGGACTTTAGAGCTACGACCCTGTAAATCATAGAAGAAATACTTGGAATCGGAGGACGGCATTTTGTTCAGTATTTGCCCTAATTGAGGGGGAAAACTAAATTATTACTTAATTCGACAAAAACATATTGAAATTATCAATCGAAGTCACATATTGGGTTAGGTCAGTTGTGTGTCTGTCCTTTTTTACTATGTTTAATCTTGAATACCATCCAAGGATACTGTGGTGTCCTCTCTATGCTCCCCCTTGTTGAGGCGGGCTCCAGACTCCTGTACGTACTGAACGATCGTCATCGAAGTAGAGAATTCATGCGGTGCTTATTAGGGTTTGATTTATCATTCGTCTTCTCTTGCTTGGCACCTTCTCTCCTCGCCACATTTTGAGGCCTGACGGTGGACTTCAACTCTTTGCCCTGGTGGCCTATGGTTAATTGAGAAGATTGTGGTGGCGGCGGCAGCGATGATGGCTCCTTTTCCGAAGAGAGAAGGTGTTGGGAAAGACGGTTAAGGTGGTTGATGATATATATGGTGGCGTTTCACCATGCTCTGAAGGTGGCCGAGCTCTTCCAAATCCAGCGCCAGCTCCTCTGCCATATTTCCTCTCTTTGATGCCACAAGTCAAGGTGGAAGGTTTATACAGCGGAATCGCGGATGGATTCTGATTAGGGGTTATATGTGGTGTGTGTGTGTATATTTGGGTAAATCTCAGTTTACTACTTTCAAGTTTTGTGGTTTTCAACATTTAGTACAAGAAGTTTTTTTCGTCCCAGAATCATGTCTAAAGTGTTAATTTTGGGACAGTCTCATACATCCGTTAGTCTGGCTGTTAAGTCACCCGTTAACTGATGATGTGGCGCCCTTGTGGACAATGACTGGACGCCACATGTCATTAAGAGGTCCACGTGGAAATTAAAAATTTTAAAAAAATATTCTCACCCAAACTTAAAATATTAAAATAATTAATTAAAAAAATAAAAAAAATAAAAAAAACCCAGAACCCCTTTTGTCTTCCCCACTCGACACCCCTCCATCCTCTCCACCCCTTACCCACCGACACCCTTCCCATTCCCTAATACCCACCCCTACCACCAAGCCTTTTCTCCTTCCCCAAAAACCCAACCCCTTCCCTTCCTGCAAAACCCTAAAAAGAAGCAACATTTAAGTGTACCTGGAGCTACTACCCTTGAACTGGTGAACATGGGCATCAACCCTTTTGAAGTCTATAGTTGGATGTTCTTTGTGCAAACAAAAAAAGGGAAATCATGCACTCCTTAAAAGTATCTGTATCAAACCATGAGCACCACACAAATCAATCAAGCCAGTCCAATCCAATCCCAGAGACAAAAAGATAGTGAAAAGAAAGATCCTGGATTCTTACAAAGCTCTGGTGAGATCATTGAGAAGCTTCTCAGGATCTTCAAAGAAAAGAGACACCACTTCAACAACAAAATTTGGGTTGCTCTCATCCTACAGTTGTTGGAGCTGCAAAAACTAACCATCCAGAAACTCATTCTTTCACCCAACCAATGAAAAAAATCCCAAAAACAAAAACATCAGGAACAAAACAAGCAAAAACAACAAAATCAAAACAACCCCATCTGTGATTTATGCTTAAATTTCATATTTTTTTCTATTGCTTTTACCCTCCAGGAACAAGGATTTTGTGTAGTCAACCCACTATCTTTGCATCTGCCCCCACCTCCATGTCTTTGCTTTTGTTCCTCTCCACACAGGTAGAGTAAAAGAAAAGAGCCAGCAGACAAAAGTTTGTGCCTTGAATTGTGGATCTTGAGGAATTATTGCACAGATTATAGACTATAATGTTATAAAATTTTGGGAAAGCCAGAAAAAGGGTTTTGGTGAATTCAATGTGAAACAAAATCCAAAAACTGCTTGCTTTGGGGTATTTGACCCGTCTAGATGTGTGCTTGATGGTAAGGGTGTCGATGGGTGAGGGGTAGAGGGGATAAAAGGGTGGAGCCGTGGAAGGGTGGAGGGGATGGAGGGGTGTCGGGTGGGAAAGAAGAAGGGGGTTCAGGGTTTTTTTTTTTTTTTTTTTTTTTTTTTACAAATACTTTTATTTAATTATTTATTTAAATATTTTAAATTTGGACGAGAATTTTTTTTTGAATTTTTAATTTCCACGTGCACCATTTAATGACACATGACGTCCAATCATTGTCCACATGGGCGCCACGTCACTAGTTAATGGGAAACTTAATAGCCAGACTAACGGATGTATGAGACTGTTCCAAAATTAACACTTTAAACATGACTCTAGAACGAAAAAAACTTCATGTACTAAATGTTGAAAACCAATAAACTTGTAATAAACTGAGATTTACACTCTATATTTTGTCACGGTCGGTTTGTGTCTGCGATTAGGGTTCAGTCGTAGTGGACGAGGAAATCGTATTTGAGGAAGAAGTATCTTGGATGGGCGGGTCGGGTGGCAAAACTCTTAATTCATTAAGAAGGCCCACTTTCCACATAAAATTGTGTTGATGAACAGGCGGGTCTAAGATAAATGCGTCAACCCTCGTACCCGTGCAATTCCTCATCGAATTTCCTTATATTCAAATTCGTTATAGATTTTCCCTATCAGAAAACAGTTTCACTGGAAAAAATGTACTTGTTCAAAATTATTTTTTTGTCGGACAGTTTTCGTAATTAATTGAAGATTGTGCTTAAAAAAATTCAATAGCGATTCATGAAAAAAAAAATTCTCTAAAACTAATTAGTATTCACTAGTCATCCAAATATCTCACTCATTTTTGGGTTCGTTTGGAGTTGTTTTTTCAAGATTTATTTGTGTTTTTTTATTAAGAATTGGTTCCAATAATATTTTCATAAAAAACGCTTTCAGTTATTATAATAGGATTTCTAAACAAGTTATTCATCAAATGAATTGAACCATATACTCAAATAAAAATAAAAATAAAAAATAGAAATAAATGGAAGGTATTTATAACCCACGACAATCAAAATTATAACTGAATCGAATTTTTTCTATATCTATCAAAGATCTGAAGTTTTCATTCCCGTCTCAGTTTCCAACAGACAATAAACTAAACTCAATATGGACAGACCGAGAGTGTCGGTTCATGAAAGCTAGTGAGGATGTATAGGTCAAAACTAGTTCAGTTCTTTCCAATGAAAATGAAAAGAGATCAAAATTGTAGTGGGCTTATTGTCTTAGACAATAGAATGATCAATGATTTGCAAAGGTGTAGTTCAAATATAACTAAAGCGTTTATCCATGTACTCGAATTCACATATTTGAATCACTCCGCTAGTGAGGATGTATAGGTCAAAACTATTCAGTTCTTTCCAATGAAAATGAAAAGAGATCAAAATTGTAGTGGGCTTATTGTCTTAGACAATAGAATGATCAATGATTTGCAAAGGCGTAGTTCAAATATAACTAAAGCGTTTATCCATGTACTCGAATTCACATATTTGAATCACTCCCTCTCTACTACTAGTGTTCATGCATGTTCATGTAAGTTGTAATGTCAACGTCTTTGTATGAGCCACGGGTCATACCATATTGTCCAACTTGATTAGAATTATGAATAAAGTAAAAATGTGTATATAGTTTGATGTAGGAGTATCGGTTTACCTTAATTATGTTTAAAATATTTTTAGATATAGGAGAAATTTTTCAGCATGCCTGTAACACGGCTGGGTACATCAAATGTCATAATATAATTGATTTAGAATTTTTTTTTCAAATTTTCAACCAATAGTATTATGAGATTTAGTATACATGATCATATTCCTGGTACACTAAAAAATTTCTCCAGATCTTAGTTGGTTTTTGATAATTCCAAATGTTGGGTTAGCTGTCATCCGATGGAAGTTTGGTTTGGAATTTTGGGTGGATTAGGTGATGCCTTATATGCATATAATAAACTTTACCCTCGAAATGATTCAAATGTAATCTATTTAATTCACAAAAAGAAGAAATTCCCAGCAGATCAGTGAACCAAAGATCACGTGCCAATAGAATTAGTCAGTGGATCAAGTTTGCTTTGCTCCCTTCCAAATCCATTGTCACTAATTGGTTTATGTTGTCTTCTTATTATGTCTGAAAATTTGTCAGACATAAAGGAGCGCATTGAGAGTACCAATTTCACATTAGAGAAATGAATGATCTTACATGTGCTTATAAGTAATTGTATTATTTTCATATTACTAATTAATTTATGGTGTAACCCGTACTTTTGTTTGATGCGGAATTTTGCAGACTGGAATAAATATATAAGTTTGATTAATTGCACTCCACCTCTTAATTTCTAATTATTCCAAGGATCCCACCTGCAACCCTACTTTGAAACATATTTTTATTTATTCTTTGATTAAGTTATTAAATTTTGGGTTTCAAATGGGGACATGTATTAGCTGGTGTGGATTGAAGAGCTAGTGGAATAAGTTCACATTTGCAGTAGTTTGAAATTACTACAGAGGACTCGTTGACGGCGGTCAGAGGTGGATTTGACTAGGGTTTTTGTTCGAGGTCGATGAATGGCATAATTGTGAATTGTGAGTGGATTCATATATGATCATGAAGTCAATGTGAGTTTACTATCCACACAACATTTGCATGCAAAATGTCTTCTGTCTACGAAATGATTCTATATAGGAATAAGATCATCACCAGATCTCCACCTACGGAGTTGATGGAATTAAAAATCCAGGTCATTCGAGGGAGATTAGGGCATGAGTTTGTGTGTTGAAGAATGAACTAATGAGAACCGCATAATTTAAGTTGAATGATCCGAATTTTTAGGTCCATTTACTCCGAAAACAGAGATCTAGAGATGATCTCATTACTAGTTTCACACCTCACATCATCAGGGCCAAGGTGGCACTATTAATATAGGCATGTTTTTCTTGGCAAAGCAAGTGGTTTTCAAAACGAATGCAATGTGGTGTTATTTCTTGTGGATTGACAACCTTGTTTGACAAACCATGCATTATATATAGTCAGGAAGGATATTAGGGTAATTCGCATGGCATATATGAGCTTATCATAGCCTTTGATGCTTGTTCGCACGTACCTGTGTGGTCACTTTAACCTTTGAAGCTTCTTGTTGGATGACGATTTTTACTCTCGCTAATTTTCTCCTTTCCCCAATGCTCATTATTTTTGTCATTTGGTTCTCTTTTATTTTTAAATTTATTCAGCGACGACTGTAAAAATCATTTTCCCCACCAATAATCAATGAGCCATTTTCCTAACAAATAATTAACTACCTAGCTAGTATTCGAAGGTCTATAATGGTGGGCATATTTTGAACTAACTACACGTCGAGTGCTTAATTAAGCGGAGCTAGTGATCACTCGTTCGTTGCTTGTTCCAATCGTAATAAAAAGCTTCAAATTCAATTTTACACCACATACGATATTCCATTACAGCCTTCACTAGCTCTTCGCTTGGTTATACAATACAAATTTGCATGTAATTCTTGTCATGTTTTAGTAAAACATGACAAAACCACAATATATCAGCAGAATAGCCCAGCTTTGATAAGAAGCTATCTAAACCAAAACCTTCAAGAAGCCAAATATTGGGAGATGCGTGACATTTATGTTCCAACTTCCACAGCTTGAGATTTTACCACATTTGTTGAAATTGTATCCTTCTCAACGAAACAATGGACCCTCTGTCCCTCTCACTGTAACTTGTAAACCTGGAATTAGAAAGCTCCCACCAATCCTCTGTTCCCCACCCGAAACTATATATATATACAAAACCAACACTAAACCACACTAATCTTGGTCTAAGTTATATAGAGTGGTTCGGTCATTCTTGGAATATTAGGTATGATATATTTTTGTGAACATATAGATTCATAACAAGCGTCTAATTACAGTACGAACACCTGAAAGTATTCTTGTCATTACATATTAAATAATATATTTGACACAATAGAAGCCCTTTAGCGTTTGTTATACTCTCAAATTATGTATAGGTATTCGTACTTTATTTTAATTTCTGAGAAATCTGGGTGGCCAAGTCTTTTTCTTTTGACCAAAGGGTCCCCTCCCCTCCCTCCCTCCCCCTTCCTTGCTTAGAGCATTCTTAATAGGGGCTAATACATTTCAAGCCTCAATGAGAAATTTCATTCTCAGTGAGTCGAAAAATGGGTCTAGATCTATCACTGGGGTTACCAAATTCCTTTATTGGGTAACATAAAATTAAGCTACATATACCCTCAAAAAACAGTGTGTCCCACAAAAAAAGTAACAACCCATGTGAGCAAATTTTTATCACCCTCACTCCACTTGCGAATACACTTATACTTTTTTTTTTCTTACATATTTTTCTTGCAATTTGGCTAATTAATGATTGTTTTAAATTCCGTAGGAATTGAAATTTCAAAGTGATTTAACATTCATGGGCATTGGTGGATGAAATTTTCATATAATTTTTTTTCAAAATTGTATGATACTAATTTACCAATTGGTGCTAGGTAAATTGTTATGTTGTACGTGAAAATCAAATTATTTTAGAGAGGGTTTGTATTTTTCAACGGATGAGATTGAGATAAGAGAATTTAATCCAATTAACGGTACATAAGAGATGAAATCTAACTTTGTCACAATTTTAACTTTTTTAGATTGAAAGGTTCATAAAAAAAAGTTTAAGATAGGACGTCTAAAAGTCAACTTATGAAAAGTTGAACACAAAATTTTTTTGTAGCATAATCAAATTACTCATAAATAAATATATATAACCTCAAATATAGTCTAAAAGAAATAACTCCTTATCGAGAGAGATTCTTTTATAAAGTTACAAAAATTCCTCAAAGCACTAAAAATAGATTATACTCGCCACCTTTCTACCCTAATATTTTGCTGGGGGCTGACCACCTGAGGCAAAACCAATCCAACCAAACAAGAAGTGACTGAAATATTAGCATTAAATCATGAAAAAATAAAAAAAAAGCAAAAGCTTTGATTCGCATGTAAACCTGTGTAACTTTGGAACTAAACCATTCAAATGAAACCAGTGTAATCTAAGATCCTTTCAGTGTGCCCGACACACAGTACGAATATCAAATGTAATAATATAATTAGTTATAATTCATTTTTTCTATATTTAATGTAAAATTATGTTTCCAGTACATTGAAAAAATTTCCCTACCAAATGGACATTTCCAAACCTACCCTCACCCTACTTCACTTTTTAGTTTTTGGTCAATCACCCCACTTCACTCACTCCTCTTAACATTGACTATCCCCCCATTTTCCTCCACCACACCATTTCATTTATTCATTATAGTCTCTCACTGCCTCTCCATCTCTCTCTCACTCTCTCCATCTCTCATGGAATTTGAAAATTAAAACCCAGTTGCAGGAAACATGGGAACCCTGTTGAGATTTTCACTTCTTCTGGTGCTGATTGCAGCAGCTGAAGCAGAATCCACCTGCAACAGCACAGACCAAGCCCAGGTCTCCAAGGCTTTCAAGTCAGTCTCCGGTTTCAACCTCTCCTGGCTCCAAAATTC